TGTGTGTGTGTGTGTGTGTGTGTGTGTGTGTGTGTGTGTGTGTGTCTCTCAAACCGGTCAGTTCCTTTTCCCTCTGTTTTCTGGCTGTGTGACAGAGGGAACAACCTTACCTCACTCACAGACAGGTGCAACAGGGACACCCCTGTTGCACCTGTCTGTCATACACCTGTCTAGGACACAGACAGGCCGTGTCACGCATCAAACATTTTTTTGTCTCCTTTCATTTAATTGTGTTCATTATRACTTGAATCAAGCTCAATGTTAGTTTAAAAACAAGTCATTAAAGGGATATTCTGGTAATTTTTTYAAGTCATGTCAGGTACTTATGACTATACTATATTGTTCAGTTTTTCTTAAAAATGTCCTACTGGTGTGAAAGATGGCTACATCAACTAATTTTAAACAGCCACACTTTTTTGCACAATAACATCCACGTTGTTCCGCAAACGTCAGTCTCTTGAAGTTGCTGGTATATCGGCCTGCTTTGAAGAGCTGAATAAACTTTTGGACTGACAGATGCACTGATCAGAYGGACTGATTTATTCAGCAGCCTCAGGAGGCTGACATTCATGTAGAAAACACGTCCGTTGTTCGGYTGAGAAGACGGTGACAAACGAAACAAAGTTTGTCATGTAAATGAGTATGGTTTGATTTTAGCGGATGTGGCGTTCTTTCAAACTAATRTACAATTTTGGGGGAAAAATGTTCTTTTGTAAACCTGAAAAGCAATATAAAACAGACCTCAGCTTTGTTAGCCATTAGCATAGCCTGGAGAAAGACTTGCATCTCTTTGTGTTGTGTGACTGGTTAGACTATTTTAAAAAATGACCAAACTAAACCTTTAAAAGCAAATACGTCATACGTTTTATACTTACAAAACCATTACATATTCAGCAAAACGTCCTTCCATTGATTGGTATCTTGGACTATTATTAGATTTTTAATTTAAGATGTGGTCTTCTAAATGTCCCTCACCTTACTGTGGGTTATTTGYGCCCTTTTGGCTCACAGTCAACATGTACAGCTGAAGGATCTAGGCCTTTTCTTTTGTTGGGACAGTTGCTAACTGGATCTCCGGGATTAAGAGACCATCAAGCCATTTTTCCAAATTGTCTTAGGCCTCTGTGGATTTGCCTGGATGTTTTGTCCTTCCAACTACCGAGTTAAGGGTTGGCACTTGATATGATAAACCCTCCAAAGTCCTTTATTTAGTGATTCAATTACCATCGGCTTGTTTCTGTGTGTGTGCGTCTCCGTGGAAGTGTGTGTGCGTGCGTGTCGTCATGAGCAGGATAAGGCTCAATTATCTGCGTTTAATGCTCGCAATCCAAATAGCATTAGGACAAATAAACTCGCAGCGCACACTGTCACCTCACAGACCTGTCTCCCTGAGTACTTTAGATCTGTGTGGCCCCCCACTGCGTTGTACCACTGAACTTGTTTTTTTTTTTTTTTTTTGGAGGGGGTGTGCTGTGTAGTCCTTACAAGAACAGTGATGTGTGTGCGTGTGCACCTCCATCTGCGTGTTCCACAGGGAAAATGTAATACAGACCAAGACAACAGCTTCAAGGATGAGTGGAGGAGGAGTGTAGGCGAGATCGGCCGAAAGATGGAAAAAATATTAGCCGCGCGTGTTCTTGTGGGTTTGCAGAGCAGGGATGGAAGCGCTCTCCTCTAGCGCTCTTTATCATGAATGGACTTTTGAAGTCGATTAAACAAGATTAGTGGGTTAAATTTGCTCTGATCTCTTATTTTTTTTTCTTCCTTTCTTTGTTTTGGACTTGAAGCTAAAGTTGTGCGTGGTGTTTGCTGAAGGTGGTGCAGATTGTTACACTGGACATCATGGTGTGGAGCTTGCAGGAAGCAGCAGAGGTGCAATAAGGTGAGCAAAGAGACTTGAGGAAATGAGACACAGGGGTTTGGTTTGAGTGGCAGACGGGTTTGAAGCCCGACACTTAGCTCTTTGCTGTGTGTGTGTGTGTGTGTGTGTGTGTGTGTGTGTGTGTGTGTGTGTGTGTGTGTGTGTGTGTGTGTGTGTCAGCTAGCTGTTGTGTAGGTGGTGCTCAGTGCTCCCATTCAGACTGTGGGTTGAGGAAGCAGGTTAGTTGGCATTAGCTTTCAGCCACGCAAACCCCTGGGTGTGTATCTCCCTGACAACATACACGTCAGATCTTTATGTCCATAACGTGACGATTGCATGTGCAAGGATAATAAACACAGCACACACACACACAAAAAATAGTGTTTGTGTTTATTTCTTTGTTGTAACAACACTCATTGGCAATACATCTTATACGTTTGGAAAGCTTATTTATTTCACCTTGAATGGAAAATGTGTTTGTGGGTTGAACAGCAGAATTGAGTATGTGGGTTGCACCCATAAAAAACTTGCCAAATCTAAACCAAACAGCTTATTTTGTTTATTTAATTCATAAACCAATATTAAAGATTTAATTGTTGCTAACCTTCCCACAGAACGCCTCTTCAGAATATTTGAACTAAGCATTTAAGGACCCATTCATTCACCTTAAACAACCTGCCTTCATCTCCCTGTTTCTGTGCCTCTGTCACTTCCTCAGCCCTCAGTGACTACCTGTTAATGAGAACACCTGTTTGGCTAACGCTTTGTAAAACGAACCATTTACACTTATATCCAGACGTCTTGCACGACAAGTCACGTCTCTCTGGAGCTTTTTAACAACTCGGCCTATCTGTTGCGCTGCAGATGTGATCGTTGGCACATACRCTTTGTTTTTCCGTGGACCTAAACCGGCTCCATCCCCCACCCAGCTACTAACTCCCAAGGCCCTTTAGCTTAACTGCTTCTATAGCTCATTGTGCAACGCTGAATACAGGTGTTCCAAATCCCCATGGGGTTGCACGGATGCTGTGGGGGATGTGTGTGTGTGTGTGCGTGTGTGTGTGTGTGTCTGTGTTACAGTTGGCCTCCCTATGCACCTATCTGACACGCTCATCCTACCCCCCAACAGAGAGTGAGCAGGTGAGTTTTTAAGCCACCCCCCCCCCTCCTCAGACCACACAGACAGACAGACTCACCTCCACCCCACTTGCCTTTTCACATAGGTATGAATATTTAATAGCTCTTTGTGTGTGCATGTGTGTGTGCATGTGTGTGTGCATGGACTCATCTACAATATAATGTCAGGGAGAACAATAATCCATCTCTTTTCAAAACATTTTCATGTTTTTCTCGTGTATTTAGTACTGGAGGGTTTTCAGATGTGATTTTTTTAGATTTTCCAAGAGAGCAAGAAGGAAATCCCGAAACAAACACACACTATTTTTACTAGCTTTTTTGGTTGTTCTTTTTCTTTTTCTTTTCTGTTTCCTTCTTCCTTTTTTTTTTGTCCTGTTGAGGAGTTGTTGCAAAACACCTTTTGGATCGCACATTCCTGAGAAACAGATGAGGGATTTCACTTTGTGTACTTTTTCACCAGGGTGTGTTTTCCCTTTTATTTAGGAATGAGCAGGGAGCTTCTGTCCAACTGCTGCCTCATCTTTGTGCAACTCTCATCTCAGCATCACGAGCAATTTTCAGGATTTTACGTTTTTCAATTTGTTGCTTTAATAATCGGAATCGTTTCACTTCAGATGGCGTCAAAACGAAAGATGCAACAAGTGACGACAGCAGCTTTAGATGTCAGCTAACACAACTTATAACAAACATGCTCAGCTTTCTGTGCATTGGTTATAAGAAAAAATAACGTGTTTTTTTGAGTAGAGCTAGCAACACACAATGTTCCAATATTTTGAAGCTTTTCAGTATATTCTCTTGTGATGCTTTTTAAAGTCTTGTCTTCAGCATTATCAGACAATTTTAAAGACAACACATTTTAGATACATGAAGTAGAGCTGCATGAAAACCGTGCTATCAAATAATTCTTCTATTTTCAACAAAAAAAGATGTTGCACTCAGTTAGATAAATACAAAATTTCTTGATGGATTTAAAAGTTTTGGGGTAAACAATTCACTATGAGGGAAATGGTTATATTTAATGACTGAAGCATTTGACAATCATCGTCCTGATTAATGAATTGTTGGTAGTTTTGGTTTACTCTGAGTGTGACMATCAGATGTGGGAATGTAGGAATATTACAGTAAACAGTGAATCCACGTTAGTGCAGCATAGGGTTGGGTATAATCGTATYGTGTGCAATTAATTGTCAGAAAAACATTAATCGATATTTTTTGGCACTTGACGATTAATACGATTAATGCCACCAGGCAGAGTCTGTTCGGTGCTCCTCTCCACTTCAAATATGATGAACATTTAAAAAAAGGTTCTGTAATTTATTTATCTATCAGCACAGTTAAAAAGTTGATGCATAGCCTGAAGTCTGTGATTTTGACACAATTTGGAACAGATTTTTATGAAGAGAAAATCTTTCCCACTAAATTGGTCATGTGACTATGACATAAGGGAGTCCAGGGACTCCAGGGGATTAATCGTTAAATTAATCGTTATCGGCAAAGTACCACAATTAATCGCGATTAATTTTTTTGCCAATATTGCCCAACCCTAGTGTGTGCCGAATCTGACATTCCTTTAGCGATAATGACGGAGCTTCGTCCGTTTTTGATGACACACTGTAAGGGTGGGGGGGGGGCTCTGCCAGAACATGTGAGCAGACTTCGTCAAGTCCACCTACCCCGTGTTTTTGAACAACATATTGAAGCTGTCCATAAGAAGTTGCAAGGTAAAAAAAAATATCAGTGGTGGTGGATGAAACAACTGATGCACGAGACTGCAGTGTTCTGAACATTGTTGTTGGTAAGTAATTTAAGTA